GCAGGTCATGGCGCGGAACAGGGAGGCTATGGTCAGGGACATGGAAGCTATAATGCAGGCCACCCAGAGATGTATAGAGAACATAACAGTGGTGGCCATGGGCCCCCTTACACAGGTCATGGCGCGGAACAGGGAAGCTATGCAGGCTATAATGAGCATTAGGTTAAGCACATGTACCATTGCTCGCTTTAATAAATCCTGCGAGAAGCTACAGATGCTTGTTTCGTCAACATAAGTTGTCCGAATTTGATTTTCGCGCTACAGCTTGCTCATCTAGCTATCTAATATTCTAGCTGTGCATACGTGAATGACGTTATATGTACCTCGGCTATTGCTGGTCCCATGTATTCTTGTTACCAAGTATTTCTGTGCTCATGTGCTTACATGCTATGCTAATCAAATATAATTTTATGCGCTAAAGGCATAACAGCCTCTTCTAAGCCTGGAATTCGACTCCGGCATCCTCCCAGTGCGAAGGCGGTAGCCCGAACCGTCATCTAGATCGAACCAATAAGATCTATACAGACATACATATTTAAATTATGAATAAAACCTCACTTATAAAAGATCCTTTTGAAGGGGATGCGTTGATCAGAATCCAAAAGCTTATGTTCAGCGCTAATCTACTGTAATCTAATATCAGGCCCAACTTTATAGAAGCAGCCTTGAATAACATTGCCCAAATACCTTTGTTATATATTTTTCTCGCAAGAATCAATTTTGAACTATCATTGCTGTTGTCCTAAGCGGCAAAACCGACCATCTCGGCTTCCTTCCCATTGGCTTGTGTAATTATGATTGAATACCTTCTCCACCATTTCTGCTATCTCCTTTGAGGCTTTTCGCGTGCCCTGCCTCGCCTGTAATTCCTGGACCTTGGTATAGAGTTCCAAATGGATGATGTATCAGAGCAGGTGTCTGGCTCTTCTTGAGGTGAGACCATTTAAAGTTGGGCAGAAAGGGAAGCAAGTAGCAGGAAAACACACTGATATTAAGGTTGCGCTAGAATGTCTGGAGGAGATCCAGGCTGCTCAAACTTCCAGGATAGAGTTCTGGCACTCATCACGAGTACAGCTATCGCCACCGACCAAAATCTGCTTGAATCCATCAGATATGATGAAAGGATTGCCGAGCAGGACTCGGATATGCCCTTGCGATCGCCTTCAATCATTCTCCGCTTGGTAATCAACTGGTGAAATGGAGGAGTGCTGAATATCGGGCCGTTATTAGCCCGCTCGACAGCACTGGCTGAATCACCAACGTCTCTCCTCATTCAACAAAAACGTTATGTCTGAATAATGGATATTTCACGACTCTTGATTAGCACTGATATCGAACCTACAACATCAAGCAACCATTTCGAGCCAGAGTCTCATACCGCAAACTCACATGGTAACACCAACCAGCAACACTTTGCGACGAACTCCCTATCCTGTACCCCTCCCTCAGTGCCATTTTAGCCTCTTCTCCCAGAACAACCAGGGCCATTAGGAGCAGGCGCTCATACTAGCATACTCCAAGAACCAGCCATATTAAGAGGCCATTCTGTGAAATCTAGTCAGCGGAATCAGATAGCGTGGCCAGTTCTTCCTGGTGGGTGGCCGGGCCCATGTTTGCTTCACCCGCCCGATGGAACTTCACGCGTGAAGGACAAGACCCCTTTCAGTCCGGCAGAGGATGCTGCTATAATATACATGCTTGAAAACCTTGGTGGCTCCTGGCTAGACCTTCTACGTGCTATATTTGGCCGTTCATATGGAAATATACATATTCGACGTGATAAATTGTACGGCTACAGGTACTGCAAGGGATGTCCATCGTGCCATATGTTTGTGCAGCGACTTTTCATCATAAAACAGCAGCTCCTCACTTCGGTTTACCCAGCCACTGCCAATCATATCTCCCTGTATCCTTTCCATCACGATGTACGTCCACCTAGAATGAGTAAATGCACATAAAACATTTGGTACTGGTATAGACGTATGTCGCGATACAAAAAGCATTGCTGAAGCTTCCAATAAATATACACGGCGCCCGTACTTCACGCATAGCCCGCCTGTCAACATGAGAACGGTTCTGTGTCATGGCCGAATATGCTTAAGTATTTTTACCGCTATAAATGTCGAGTACCGATACCAGACATTGTTATTAATGGGCTTGGGTATGTGCAGCGAAGTGGTGGATGGCACGACCAAGGACCGAGAACTGTGATGACCTGACATTGCGACTATATAATGGAATGTAAGTGTACTGATTTTAACGCTTGAAAGGGCCATTATTACTGTACAAAACCGTGTCTAGGAATAATCGTGATGGGAAAGGACATAGGAGTATACAAGTTAATGCGTGGTGATGGACAGTGATGGGTGACAGGAGTTGCCTAGACTAATTGCACGTGATGCGATCGAGCCTTCTGGTTCTTCCACAGGTAGCACGGGACTCGGCTTTATTCTCGGGCCGTACGAGAAACGCCCACATCGTCCACGTTTGCACCAGTGTCCTCTTTTGATTGACTTGATTTTTCCTTTACAGGGCCGGGATGCCTCATATATATGTCCGTTCCCAATCCCTGCCATGTATCTTGTTCAGTCTTCCATTCTTTTGTACCTCCTCCCCCTCCACCTCCTCGGACAGCGACCTTCTGGATAATTCGGTGAAGCAAATACCTTGAAGCAATTTTGATTGTTGTAGGCTAACGGTTGTTACCTCGCCACAGGTTTGCCAATAATACTTAAGAGATGGGCCACAGGCAAGCAATATGCTGCGGAACTACTGTAAAGCTGCTCCCCACCAAGCGCGCTACATGTTTTACTCACTCGCCCTTTCCAAGCAACACCAGATTAGCCACATTCATCCCCGTAATGATCATCCACACAAGACCTGCAAAAGCGGCTGTATACCACGAATTGGCCATCTTGATAACGCCACTACCATGAATTCCCGCCGCCGCAAGAAGGCGCTGGTCGTGAACGAACGTGCCCTCCCTGTTGATCGCGAGGAAACGTGCTCCGCCCGGTTGAACCGTCATGTGCTTGTTAAGGGAGGTGAAGTAGATGAGTGGCGCTGTGACGAACGGCAGGACAATACTCAAGGCAACCTGAGATGCACTGAGCGCGGCATTTAGCCCAGGTCGGCCGACTGCTCCGGCAATGATGATACTGGGTGTGATGCTGATGCTTCGAGTCACTAGGCGGCGTAGCCAGGGGCGGAGTTTCCAATTCAGCGCACCCTCGCTGACCATCTGCCCAGCAATGGTGCAGACGACGCCAGCTGACATCCCTGACAGCAACAATGCGAGCGCGAAGATAGTGCCTGCTGCAGGCGAAATGGATTCTGAGAGCAGGCCATGGATGCCGAAGATGTCCGCCTCGAGGGCATTTGGGTTATTGTACAAGGAGGCACCAGCCACGATAAGAATAGACGAGTTGACGAAGAGTGCAAATGTAAAAAGAGCAATGGCCAGCTCGGCGATTGAGGTCTTCAGTGAGTGTCGGATGGCCCCGAGAGATGGGACGTAATAACCTTTCTCAACGCTGTCGCTGGTAGACGAGGATGCGGATGATAACTCGGGAGGTAGAAGCCTATGCTTCGCATCGTAGTCTCGTAGACGTGGCTGGACTATACCCGAGCCCAGATAGAGGCTGTGTGGCATAACAGTTGCTCCCAGAATGCCGCATGCTTGGTAGATACTTCTCATGTTAGAGAAACCCTAAAATAAAGAGGGCTGTGAACAACTAACGCCTGCTGCTCAACAATGGCACTTGATGGCAAGTAACCCTTGAAGACTTCTCCAACCGTGGTATTCTCAATAAGAGACATTTGAATGCAGAAGCACACCACCACGCCAAGGACCAAGCATATTACAAAAAACTCGAAGACCCTAAGGGTCTTCATTGATCCATCTGGATGGTAAAAGAAGAGAATGACCATGACATCGAAGATTGAAATGGCACATCCAGCAACCAGGGGTAGCTGGGGGATCAGGAGGTTCAGTGCTATAGCAAATCCAATCACCTGGATCGGTTAGTTCAAGCTTACGATAGGAGCCCTGATGGTAAATCGAACGCGAAAAAGCCGGAGATGATATGCTTACATACCTCAGCAATATCTGTGGCAATAATAGCAATCTCTGCGAAGGCGTATAAGATGTAATTGACCCATCGGGGGAGAAATGCTCGGCATGCCTCTGCGAGGTTGAGTCCACTGACAGTGCCAAGCTTTATAGCAAGACTCTGGAGGAAGATGGCGAATAGATTGGCCAAGAGAACAATGAACAGCAGCCGGAACTGGTAAGAAGCTCCAGCGGCGATGTCTGTTGAATAGTTGCCGGGATCAACTTGAGATGAGACATGTGTTAGTGAAGGATGAATGGAGCATAAAGTTGATACTTTGGTCTTGGGGGAGTTGGCCTACTGTATGCGACAGCAATCATAAAACCAGGCCCAATGAACGAGCAGAACTTGAGGAAGACATTCTTGAAGCGCTTAACTACTGTACGAAGACCATGACTCTGGCAAGTCGAGCCATTATTTGGCGGAAAAGTGGGTGAGTGGGAGGGAAGAGAGGCAGAGCAATTGACTTGTGAAGCCCTCTTCCTCAAAGGCTGGCCAATAACAGAATACTGGTTGGCTAGGGAATGCATGGTTTTGTTGCCAGCTGCATTTGGGGTGTTGGATCCATTGTCATCGTCTGCCGGCGTTCTTGCACCTTGCAACGACTGAGGGTCTTCTCGTCTCAATTCCCTGATGTTGGTGATGCCATTGAGGTCTTCGTTGGTGGTCAAGTCATTGGAAAGGGAATTTGGGCTCTGGTTATAGCCATCCCCCTCGAGGGGCTCGTCCGTTCGAGAGGGTTTATTCATGATTTTTAAACTCCTGATGCCCCTCTAGTTTATATTCGTGCAACTGATCCCAGATTATTCAAGCGTCTGTGGTGAATAGAACTCGGCAGAGAACTGAAGACAATAGTGGGTCAGCTGAACGAAGATCCAGAAGGACACTGTGTATATAACTATGACCTATCGAGGGTTCCCACCCCCATGTCAGCAAAGACCGCAATCGAAGAAGAAGCGGTGAGAAATTCATTGAGTATATTCGCCTGTCCTCACCCATGGTTTAAAGTGCCACAAAAGAAAGGCTAGTGGCTAAATAGGTGGCGATCTGGTAAAAACGCTGCTGGGATATCTTGGGGGTGAATCCTTGGCTTTCGTAAACTCCCGAAGCCCCTGCCTCCCTGGTTGGATGCCAGTGTCTCCAATCTTGGCCTACACACATTGACTCGGAATCTCGTACATTCTAAAGATTTGCCACGCTCTCCCACCCTCTTTTTTCTTTTCTTTTTTTTCCCTTTGTTTTTTGAAGAGAGGATTATTTAAAGGAAGCAGCAATCTTGGCTGCCTCTACATAAAGCCATGTCCTTCGATTCAATCGCCCGCCTGCGAGGAGTGGGATGCTAGGTTTGGTGTGAAGATCCTCCTTGATTAGTTTATCACAGCAGGGTCACGATGATGCGGGGGTAAGGAGCAACACGGCTTAAGGTGCCAAGGGCGGGGAAGATGACGCGGCAGGCAACTTGGCAAGAAGCGGTTCGTGAGTGGTCTCCAGACTTGTGTGACGAATTGTAGTCAGTGTGGTCATCGCAATTCCAGTAAAGAGTGTAGACGGAGCAAAACAAACGCGCACTAGTTCTTCTCTCCCCTGCTCTCACCCTACTGCTCTGCTGCCCAGCATCCCAGGAACCCACAAGGCACGGGTATCGGCTTACCGATTAAGCACGAAACTTACGGAGGAGCATGGTCATAGCGGCAAAAATGGCAGGCAAAACGCTCACAATCTCGCCGAGGCCAGCGTAGGCAGTGGGGATGCGAACGTTAGCAAAGGCGCCACCCGCCAAGAAGATCGCGAAGACGTTGTAGATGTTGACCAGACGAAATTAAAGATCATGCAATGCAAAGCGACTCGACTGAAGTTCAGCAGATATGGAATACCTTCCAGGCCGTTAAGCAGCACCACTTCGGCAGCACCGCGAGTCACGTCGCTCGAGGAGAGAAAGTCTCTCTGGCGAGTCAGGCCCCAGCAGCTCTTCGGGTGGCCACGGAGGCTATGGCAGCCCTAGCTCTTGTGGAAGAGACACTCGCTAGTATCAGGCTGGTTACACTGGACACAACGCACCAGGTGCGCTATCAAGGACATGGCGTGTATCGCCGGGAAGATTACCAAGGTAAGGCCATGGCCAGTATCCGGGCGCACACTGCGCTCCAGGCGGCTATTAGGGGGGGCATGGTGAGTACCGTGGTCCATATAACAACAGCGGACATGGCAGCGGCAAAATCTCACATTACGGTGGTCAAGTGGTAGTTTCGTCCTGTAAAGATGTATTTTTTATTAAATAGAATTTACAGAATTTATTAAATGTGCGAGAATAAAGATTCCACTGCCCATCAATAAGTCCCCCGGCGTGGGATTTAGTCTGCAAAAAGTATTAAGTATCTTAGTAGAGGAGTGATATCCGCCTTTATCTTCTATTGCAGCAAACATGCTGACTTCGATAGCAAGCCGAGAACTGGCGAGTGGATCGAACAAGTGGAAATGACTCAAAATGAGCTTCAATCCGATACAGTTTTGTTCCACTTCGGTCCAACATAAATTTAGTGTGGAGCGCACGTCAGCATCACCATCGATACCATTTCTAACAACATCCGAAAAATTGGATTTGTCAACGCGCATGAAATGATTTACAGGTGGCCGATCTGGCCCATGGCCCAAAGGCAAACAGTTGAAGGAGGCTGGTATCGTCATTTTCCAACCCTCGGTTGCTATTGTGAATGCGATTGGCCAGGAGCAGTTGAGTCATTCACGTGCTGGCGTGCAACTAATACAAAACCATGGCCTGACCCGATTTCCAGCAACTCAAATTCAACAACACGTCCAACTCATACAAATCAGACTGAAAGGAAAAGATCACTTCAACAATGGGATGCGACTGTAGCGGCCCACCGGCTCCAGCCCCCGAGCCTGATGTTACGCCAATCTCGGCTCCAACGGAGGAGACGACCAGTTGCCAAGATGCTTGCTGCGATAGCGACGACACTGAGCCTCTCGACACCACGGCGCCGGGTCAGGGAGAGCCCACCCTGGAGAAACCGGATGATGGCTGCTCCCCTGGTAAATGCACGGACAATAAAACCGAGAACGATACCGACGCGCCTGACTGCTGCCGCGGCAAAGTTGGCCCATGCTGCGATACGTCTTGCCTTGACCGCTTAGCTATGCGGGAATGCGAGATGAGTGCTGCGGCTGCCCCCGGCCCAAACGGTCAGCCAACCAGTGAGTAGCCGCTCTTTGAGAATGACATTCAAAAGATTGCTAACCTCCCTCAGCTTGCGGTGGAGCTACCGACCCCAAGGCATGCAGCCAGCATAGTCTCTCTGCCCTCGACCGCTATGGCGCTACTCTACAAGCCCTGGGATGTATCTGCCGCACTCTCATTGCTCTTGGCCAGGAAAGCTGCTGTGAAATTCGCGAGCGCCATTCCCTGGACGGGAAGCAGTGCTCCAAGAAGTCATCTGTTCGCTCCCTTCTTCGCACTCCACTGGATTCCTGCGGCAGCAACAACTCCGTCACCAAGGACCAGGTGGCGCAGAAGCGTCTTCGCCTGCGAAGGGACTTTGGTGAAAGCGCCAGGTCTATCAAGAAGCCGTCCGCGGATGCCTGCGTTGTCTCTTCTTGTTCGAAGGACAAGCCTCCCGTCAAAAGTAAGTGCTCGAAGCCGTGCTGTTCTGAGGGCAAACAGGTCAAGGAACCTCGCCCAAAGAGTAACTCCGCCCACTCTTGCTGCACGGACGACATGGCTATAAAAGAAGGCCCAACGAAAAACCAATGCTCCTGTTCTTGCCGCTCCGAGGACACGCCCGCCACGGCTCCATCCGTCAAGGATAACTGTGTCAAATCTTGCTACTCCCTCGAAAAGCCCGCGAAGCAGCCCGCTGCCCAAACTGGACGCCTTGATTCTCTCTGCTCGGAGACTCCCCATGTCGAAGAATCCCCTCCCAAGGTCGGCTGTCTCGGATCTTGCTGCCCCAGAGACCAGCGTGCCAACGACATTGACTCCAAGAGCATACATGGGGATACGTGCTGTTCGAAGGTCAAGCCCGTTGTTGAGCCCCCTACTAGTGGGTGTGCAGGATCTTGTTGCAGAATAGCTAAGAACACAATCAGCAAAAAGCCACCCAATGCCGCCTCCTCTGGCTCTTGCTGCAATCCACCGACGCAGGATATCGTGAAGACTCCAAAGACTAACTGCGCGGACTCTTGCTGTGCAGAAAAGCAGCCGGCCAGCCCTCAAAACTCTTGCACCGATGCTTGCTGCTCCTCTGCTGCCCCCAGTCCTAGTTTAGAAATTAAGGAAGCTCCGATTCAGGCCATCACCGACATAGAGAATCAGGGTACCGGCAAAGAACATGTTGTTCTCAGCATTTCTGGCATGACTTGTACTGGTTGCGAGACAAATCTCAACCGAACCCTCGTTACTGTCCCCGCCGTCAAAGACCTGAAAACCAGTCTGGTTCTTTCACGAGCCGAGTTCAACATTGATCTTCGCCTTGGCTCAGTAGAGGAAGTCATGAAACATCTGGAGCGAACAACTGAATTTAAGTGCGAAAGAGTCCAGAACCAGGGATCCAGCCTAGATCTTATCGTCCCCGATATGCCCTCGAAATTCATTAGTCAGACATGGCCGGACGGAGTTATTGACATGTCACCCTGGACAAGCAGGCCGTGCGAGTCGCGTTTGATCCGAAGATCGTGGGAGCTCGAGACCTCACCGAGAAGATTTGGGGTCCGCCAATTGAGCTTGCTCCTCCACGCGGTGACCCTTCGCTAGAGGCTGGCAGCAAGCATGTTCGTCATGTCGGATACATGACACTTCTCTCCGCTGTCTTGACGATTCCGGTCCTAGTCATGGCATGGGCTCCGCTTCCTGAGAGGGAGGTGGCATATTCCTCGGCTTCACTCTCCTTGGCCACCGTTGTTCAAATTGTCATAGCAGGACCTTTCTATCCCAAGGCCCTGAAGGCTCTCGTTTTCTCGAGGGTTATCGAGATGGACCTGTTGATTGTCCTGAGCACCAGCACTGCCTACATCTTCTCGGTGGTCTCCTTTGGGTACCTCATTGCAAAGAAGCCCCTTTCGACTGGTCAATTCTTTGAAACGAGCACTCTCTTGGTCACCTTGATCATGGTTGGTCGATGGGTTGCCGCTCTTGCTCGTCAGAGAGCTGTTGAATCCATTTCTATCCGGTCACTTCAGGCATCGACAGCTATCCTTGTCGACAAAGAGAGCGGAGCGGAACGGGAGATTGACGCCCGACTTCTTCAATACGGTGACACCTTCAAAGTTCTCCCTGACATCAGAATCCCGACCGACGGCACTGTCATTAATGGGTCGTCTGAGGTTGACGAATCCATGCTCACTGGTGAATCTAGACCAGTGGAGAAATATCCTAAGTCTGTGGTGATTGCTGGGTCTATCAATGGACCTGGAGTTATGACTGTTCAACTGAACCGTTTGCCTAGCGATAATACTATTAGTGCTATCGCTGCGATGGTCGATGAGGCTAAACTGTCGAAACCCAAGCTGCAGGATCTCGCAGACCGGGTAGCATCCTACTTCGTCCCGGTTGTGGTGGCATTGACGATCATCACGTTCGTCATCTGGGTTGCAGTGGGCGTGACTATTCGTGGATATGATGCGTCAGAAGCTACAATTCAGGCCATCACATACGCCATTACTGTCCTCATCGTCTCTTGCCCCTGCGCTATTGGACTGGCTGTTCCTATGGTCATTGTGATTGCTAGCGGAGTCGCGGCGGAAAGAGGTATCATCTTCAAGTCTGCAGATGCTATTGAAGTGGCTCATAAGACGTCGCACGTCGTGTTTGATAAGACTGGGACCTTGACTCAGGGAAAGCTGTCAGTCGTCGCGAAGGACTGCGTCGACGAGGACAAGCTCCCACTTCTTCTAGGCCTCATCGAAAACAGTCGACACCCAGTCTCAGTTTCTGTGGCTGCTTACCTCAAGGATACTGGGGTTATGGCCTCGACTGTTCCTGAGCCCAAGAGCCTTACTGGTAAAGGTGTTGAAACCACCTTGGGCGGCCGGAGACTTCGAGCAGGCAATTCTCGCTGGCTGAACTTATCGGAACATGAACTTGTTCAACCAATGCTTGCTCAAGGATACACTGTCTTCTGCTTTACTATCGACAATGCGTTACAGGCAGTCTATGCTCTTGAAGATGAGCTTCGACCTGACGCTGCAGGGACGATTGAGACCTTGCAGAAGCGTGGTGTCTCGGTACATGTGGTTTCTGGCGACGATGACTGAGCTGTTCAGACTTTGGCGTCCAAGCTTAGCATTCCTGGCGACAATGTGCGTTCTCGAAGCTCGCCCGCCGACAAGAAGGACTACATCCAGACGCTCCTTGGTACTGGCGCAGATCGCAAGAAACCGGTTGCTGTTTTCTGCGGTGACGGCACGAACGATGCCGTTGCTCTCGCGCAGGCTACGATCGGCGTCCACATGAACGAAGGCACGGATGTCGCGCAATACGCCGCGGATGTGGTTCTCATGCTGCCTTCTCTGGCTGGCATCCCCACCATGATGGACTCCAGTCGGAAATCTGTCAACCGCATCAAGTTCAATTTTTCATGGAGCTTTGTGTACAACACCTTTGCAGTCCTTCTCGCTGCGGGTGCTTTTGTCAATGCTAGAATTCCTCCACAGTTTGCGGGACTAGGAGAGTTGGTGAGTGTGTTGCCAGTCATTGCTGCTGCGTTGCTTCTGCGCTGGCCGAAGATCTAGGCACAGAGCACCATCATGGCACGAGTGACAGCGGCTGAAGTTCCACAAACTCTCCTTGATGTCCGATTGGAATCGTCGTTCTGAAGACGGGATGGGACAGCTCCTGTCATATTCAAGTTCGGATCGCAATCGCAGATTGCTGCAATTCTGTCGTAATCGAAAGTTGTTGAGCTAGCCTCAAGTGATGTAGAGTCAATTCTAAGGCAGTCATTAATGCGATCATTCTTGGAACACACAGCCTTGCTATACTGTACAATTAACTGGTTAAGCTATCATCCATTGTTCAGCGTGTTCGAGGGCCAAGTGTTCAACCTCACAGAGAGAGAAAGAATAACTGCATGGCCTCATCAAAGAGTGGGAGAAGGATTCTTTCGGTGACAAATGCCCGCCTTTTTCCCTTCCCAACGGACTCCCACCTCGACATGGGAGTAATACTACCACCTATTACGGAAGATTGACCTTTCATGCCTTTCTATTTCCAGGCCCTCGAGTGAGGACCGCAATGGATTGACTTGTGCACAGGTTGGCGTTCACCTTCATATACTCATTCAGTTAGCTATGATATGTGTTCCTCGAACGTTGGAACTATAATCAGCTCCGATTTGTTTACAATCATGGATGACGCTTTCAATAGTCTCGAGATAATTGCGAGATTTCTCGTTTCATCTGTGGTCCAGATTTCGAGATAGCAGTCCCTTTTGCTCCTCATGTCAGCAACTTCCACTTCAGAGATCCCGCCACGGGGTTTCCCGAGTAACGACCGAAGCGTGAGATTTATTTCGAGTTATATTTCAGTAATGATGTGCTGTACGTGTATTGATGGTTATGAGAAGTAAATTCGAGTATATGTTGAGATTCAAGAATGGGAGGAAGCAAACCTAGCGGTGAAAGGAATTCCACGATCTTCCATAGAGATTCGTGTCCTTAGTTTTATGCAAGCTTACCTAAAGTTTATGCAAAGGCACAGCCAACCTCAATTAGTAAGGGATTTTTGCCGCCCAGTGGGCGTGATCGACCTTTTGGGCAGTTTGGGACCACGTGACAGTATGCTCATTCACAAAAATAAATAAAGCTTGCATAATATACAGTACAGTACGGTACAGAGGATGCTGAAAATAGCTCAATAATCTATTCAGGCCAAGTTCTTGGCGGTGGGGCCAACAAACAATTGACGTGTGTTTGGAGGTCAGACCGATTTCGAGAATCACTGTACTCAATTCCGCTGTAATACAGCGGAGCGCGAAGGCACGAGCAAACTGGATATCTTCGACTGTATGAGCTCTGTTGAACAAGAATATCTGGATTCGTGCTATTGTTGTGGTGTGCCAAGCGGGAGGCACTAATAGCAGCCCTACTAGCGGGAGGGCCCGAGCCCTATCCTATAAACACCCAAGAAACTTATGCAAGCAACTTATTAGAGGACTTCCAGGCCTGAACAGTGATTAATATAACCTAAATTATTAGAAGAAGAATATAGAATGGTAAAACCCACCCTGCTATAGAGGGTACTGGCTGAATTACTACTAGAGAGGTGTGGAAGCTTATTTATAAGCTTAAAGATATTATTAACCACTAAACCATGCTTATTAAATCCACCAGATCTAAGCTAGAGGAAGTTAAACATAACTAGAATATCCTATGTAAATAGAATAAAAAGCTTTACAAGGAAGTTATAGCCCTGTAAACTTAGATTAAAACCACCTTACTAGCATCCCTAACTAGATTATAGGCTATAGTCATAGCTAGCAGCAGCAATAGGGCCCTATAATTAAACTACTAATAACCTAAGAAAGAGTGGAACTATATTTAAATTAGCACCTAGAGGATGTTTATTAATCTAAGAGATAATAATAACTATAATAGAAACACCTTTGGCTGATACCTCCCTATAGATGCTACTAATAACTATATCTATATAGCCCTTCTAAACGCTGCCTTGATATAAGATACCCAGGTGGCTGGGATTGGCATGATAAAGACTAGCTATATTATTTAATTTCAGGATTACAAGTTAGTGGAAGCTGCCTGTAATAATACTAAATAGCTAAATAAACTTAGAAACAGTATAAAACTAGTAAAGCCTTGGTTTAGCATTGTTGTACACTGCATGCTGACTAAGAAGTTTAACTTAGAAACTGCAAGCACCCAGGTAATAAAGAAAATTATAAAGGAAAATAACTTGGTGGAAAGTGGTTTCTATATTAAAGAATTGGCCTGGTTAAAATAGAAGGACAAGGCACTGGGGAAGTTTATATCCTTAGGAATCTAGTTTAACTCTCTAGAGAGAGCAGAGCACCTACTTAATAACAGCCTCCTTGTTAGTTAGTGCTATATTAGAAGTGTTAAAAGACAAGAGATTAAAAGAAAGAGATGCTTCTGGTGCTAATATTTTAGATACCTAGTATAGTTATATAAGGAAGTCCCATGCTGCAGACACTGCGCAGGGTAGTATAAGCAATAGTAATGCCTGCCAGGGGTTAGGGCTTAATGCCTTGACTACACTGGGGAATACCTAACTAGTAATTAATAATACCCAACCCCCGCGACTTCTAACTCTAACTAATATTAGAAAGGAACCTCCGCGTACTATAGCTAAATATAATAAAATTAGGACTATAAATAGAAGTGTTTATTAATAACCACCAGACCCAAGACCTTAATATCCTCCTGATCTAGGAGCCATCCATCACCACCTACTAAACATATATTAACCATAGTGCCTGGTGACTATACTAGCCTACCACTAACACTAACATGACTTAGTTCTGTAGTCTAGCCTATATAAATTAAAGACTCTTAACCTTATCACACCACCAGGTGTACTATAACCACCTAGATATTACAGCTATTAAGATCTAGATAGCCAACTCCTAAACCCTTGTCTTTTCTATCTATATACTATTAGCGCTAATATATACTAGTAATAATAGATCTATAGAACTAGCACTTATAGTAATTTAAAATATAATTATAACCACTATACATAAAGATTAATAGACAATAAATATTATTCTCTCTAGAGATTTTAACTACCACCACCCTATGTGGAGTAGTAATAATATTTAACCTTACTTTATTAAGGATGCAAGCAACCTAATTACCTTCTTCTAAGCTAACAGCCTCTAGAGCTGCCTCCTACAGGGAATAGTAACCTTCTGGCCCCTTAATAACCCTGGAAAGTTCTCTACTATTAACTAAATAGTTACTGACTAGCCAGATCTACTTATCAAATGTTACCTGTACTATAAAAATTATAGATCTGACTACTGCGCCATGTACTTGGAATAGCAATTGCAAGCACAGGTCAGGGCACCTACCAAACTAAGGAAAGCATATAATTGTGTAGAATAGAATAAAATTAGTAAAGATATAAACTAATAAATAGACCTATAGAAGGATATAAAGACCTAACCTGCACTTAATATAGTTATCTAAAAGCTTATTAAAGCTATAAGCCAGGTGGTTAACTATTTCACACCAGATACATGGCCAACTCTATACTCTAAATAATAGTTCACACCAGACCTTAAAGTCTAATAAGTTAAAGTTAACTAAACCTAATAGAGATGGCAGGCAAGCTATGCCAAGCTAGGCCAAGGTTACCCTTACTCCACAGCCGTGTTTTAGGACATGTAACATAAGTAACAAGCATAGACTTAGACTATTAAAAAAGTAAAAGCTTCACACTAGCAAAGATTTCTAGATAAGGCTGGTAAGGGAAAACTCTGGAAAGTAGCCACCTATATAAAACTATAAGAGTTATAGGGATATATCCTAATACTATAGACTAGTGTAGAGGAGTATACTAAGAATAAAAATAAAGTATAGGTATTTTTAAATACTTTTTTCCCTGTAATAAACACGCTGGATCCTAGTAATCTAACTATACTATAGCTGGAACTTCCCTAGCAACTAATCACTAAACTTAAGATTTAATAATCCCTTAACATGGCCAACAGGACCATAGCACCAGGAGAAGATAACCTGCTAATACTAGTTTAGAAAAAGCTCTAGATACACCTAAAAATACTTATTACTAATATCTTTACTATATCTGTGAATCTAGGCTACCACCTGAAATAATAGTAAAGTGCTAAGATAGTTATATTATAAAAGCTAGGAAAGTCTAATTATACTAACCCTAGATCCTACTACCTAATCTTACTTCTAAATATACTTAGTAAATTACTAGAGGCAGTTATAGCTTGACAGCTATTATACCTGGTAGAAAAGTATGGTTTACTGCCAAACAGCTAGTTTAGGGGCTACCCAGGTCAAACCACTAAGCAGGCTTTGCTGGTACTCTTAAACACAGTTAACTAAGCCTGGTACAAATATTATGTTATGACCCTTATATTATTTGACCTAAAAGGCACGTTTAACAGTGTTAACTAGAGGAGCCTGGATGCCTGCCTGCAGGCAAGGAGGATCCCCTTAGTTATAAGGAAGTGGATCGCGAGTTTTATAAGTGACCACTACGCGAGCATTAGGTTTAACAACTTTTAAACTGCAATGGAACCACTGGTAAATGCAGGACTAGCACAGGGATTACCACTCTCCCTAATTTTATTTATATTTTTTAACACGGACCTGGTTAAACAACCAGTTAATATTTATAGGGGCGCGTCAGCCTTTATTAATAACTACTTTTAATAGTAAGTAGGCCGCTCTACTAAGGAAAACCTAGCCTGGATATAATTAGAAGACATTCCTTAAATTAAGGCTTGGGCATGGAAGACTGGGTCCTGCTTTATAGCCAAGAAAACTAAGCTTATTTACTTTACTAGGAAAAAGTGTGAACACTAGGAGGGATTAATAGTACTAAATAGTATAGTAGCCTGACTATTAGCCATGGTAAAGCTGCTAGGAGTGGTATTTAACTAGGAGCTATAGTAGAAGGAGCATGTCTAATAGGCTATTAAATAAGCAACTAAAACAACTATTGCCCTGTGTGGACTATGATATCTGCGCCCTGAATAAATGCGTTAACTCTACTAAGTATATGTGGTGCCAGTTATAGACTATGTATTAACTGTCTGGCATAACCTGCTGCGCGATAAAACCTATCTATAATACTTAAATACTATACAGAGGACCCTATTAATTTATATTCTCTTGGCATTTAGGACAGTGGCAACCACCACCCTGGAAGTAGAAGCCTATGTTCTCTCTATATACCTCTGTCTCTGCCACTATGCCTAATATACCATAGCCAGGCTACACATGCTACCGCGTGGTCACCCTATCTAGGATATATTATCCCAAGCTTAGAAATAAAGGAATAATATTAGATCGCACGCGTGCTTTCCTCTGGCTAAAGCACTGAAGACTATAAACATGGACTAATTAAATAAGTTAGAAATAATTAACCCACGCCTGCTGCCACTATGGTGAAGGGAGGCATTTACAGAGATTAATATTAAACTAGACTAAGAGATAGCCAGGGAAAACGCCAAGACCATAGGTTCTAGATCTAATATTATTATCTACTTGGATGCCTCCAGGTGAGAAGGCCATCTAGGGGCCACTGTTATTACACTTAATAATAACTAGAGGGTGATTAAATCCTAACAGGTATAGGTGGGATCCATGGACTGCTAGTTAGTCTATATTATAGAGCTTATAGGCATCTTTTATGCCATTAGTATAGTACTTAAGATATTCTACTAATACCTAAGCTAAACAGATAACAGCCCAACCACTGCAACTATTATATATAATAGTAGATTAGCATTACAAGTAATTTAGAGTATAAAGGTTATATTAGGATAATAAGTTATCTATATAATCCTTCAAGCAGCTACTAAGATTCAAGCAAGGAATATAGATCTCCACCTCTAATAGATTCTAGGATATTATAATAACCCTAGAAATAACATAGCAGACTAGTTAGCTAAAGCTACCATGCACCTGGGTTAAACCTATTCCTTCTGCCTGCTACTAATAAGGGAGATAGCACTAATCCAGGATGGAATCTATGCTTAGTAGGAGCAAGAATAGAGATCTAGTACTAAAGGTAACCACCTTTAAAAGATTAATAACACCCTGCCCGTGAATTACACCTAGAAGCTGTATAGTTACCTGCCTAGAAACTAAGCTTACCTGCTCACACAGCTCCACACGGGCTATAACTGGTTATCTACCTTTACTAAGAAACACAGCTTCCATGATAATAACCTGTGCGCGTGCGGCGCGCGGGAGATAGTTATCTATGTGCTAGTGGACTGCCTAAGATTACAAGGGCTATAAATAAAATTAAGGAGAGAGGTTAGAGACATGTTTAATAATATATTAAGTCTGCTGGGAGGCTTAACCTATGGTAAGAAAGGTAATCCAGATATTATCTCACGGGCTAAAATAGTTAATGCCGTGCTGGACTTTGCTAAGGTGTCACAGAGATTTCGCAGTCGCGCGCCACGAGGGCAGCCTAACAATGGGAGCGGTAATTAGGCTATGACAGGCTGTGATAAGGCTCTAAGTTTATTTTCAGGAAGTGGAAGAGTCTACATGTACATAATCAGATATATATAGTTGTTGTAGCCTGCATATCGCTTTGGCGAGGGGTCAGGGTAAATGAAAGCATCATCATCATCATCACTGTAGTACAGCATTTGAAATCCAGATTTCCTTCTCCGCCTAACTTGCGGTGCCGTTGATTTCAAACCAATCCTGGTACTCATACTGGCCGTCATCCTTCCTATTCACTGTGATTTGCCGAAGAACGCCTGATCTGCGAAGGACTACAATTTTTTCAATGAGCGTAGCCGTGTTGCGCATGCTCATTGAAGACCCCCAATCATCTAGATTGTCAGCTAGAACCCAAACCTCCTCAAAATGAATATGCCGAACTCTGCCTTTGTGGGCGGAGCAGAAAGTTTCCAGGGCAGTTATTTGTAGCCAACAGCTCCCTAACTCAAGGCGTAGCATTGAAGGGAGCGGGATTGAGGCCAAACATCGAAGAAGGCCTACGCTATCAATCAGGACAATATTAGTCACAGTTTGTAACGCGTGCGCCACCTTGTCAAGAAATCCCTTTTCTAACATTGAGATGTTAGAGTCGAAGCCATGAACACGGAAGGTACGGATGGACATCCCGTGCTCCCTCAGCCCTATCAAAGCCTCCACAAATGTTTCGAAATGCAGAAGCATGGAGTCATTTCTGTCAATAAAGAGATGCGTTGCCAGCCAGCGAAATGGCTGGTCAATGGTGTCCTCGAACATCAATTGGATATCCTTGAGACGCCAAAAACGGGGAAGACATCTTCTTATTGTTCGAGCATCCCTACTGCCGGCAAGTATTTCGTGCTGTTCCGCTGATAGTTTGCTGAAATATTTGTAGATTGATGCGTAAGAGAGGGAGTTTCCGCGAAAGTTCCACCATTGTTCTCTCTGATCCCTTACAAACTCCTCAGGGGTATACACGCACAGACGAAAATAGTCCCAGGAAGGAATATCTAGCATTCACTATTAGTTGTGTGACCCAGTTTCTTGGTATGGATCAGACTCTTACTCGCGTCGATAAGCTCAGGCACTTTGTAGCGAACAGCTGTCACATACTGGGCAAATACAGAATTCGAAACTTCCTCAAGGCGCGTGAATCCAGATGCGGAGAAAGTAATGCGAAGAGTTCTGAAAAGATGTGGGACACAAACTGCTCTGAGGTTTCGAGTGGCGGAGGACAGCGTCTTCAGTGCATCATAATCATCCTCTAAGAGATTTGCTATCATGTCCAAGAGTTCAAATGGGAGTTGGTCAAAGACAATGGCTGACATTTTGCATCACAGTGATGGCAAGACGAAATGAATCCACCCCTAGGCATCCTTAACAACAATAGTCTCTATTATAAACCGGTTTAACCAGAAAACTGAGTACATCATTTAGGGCCGCAATAGCAAGACAAAATGTCTTTTCAGGTGCCCCACCTTTCGCAACCCCAAATGGGGTCGCACGACAGTCTCGAAGTGATGTATATCTAAGGGGGCGATTAAGGAACTGGAAATCTACAATGATTTTTTTCTGATATCTTGCTATTCATGATCTCACTATGATGCACATTAGTCAGTCAGTTGTCCCTGAGCCAACCCTGCTGGACATATCTAGATTCGAAAATCCCAGCCTGCATTTCCCGCAATCCCAGACCATCCTCACGGCTGCAAAGCCCGACGATCTCAGGCGTACACAAGACTTGATAGATCACCGTGCGCCGGACTTCGTTCGACACTATCTTCCTAGTTGGCAACAACACGGTATTTTCTCCACGTTAAGGTCATGCCTTGATGAAGAGACCCTGCAAAAACCCACCACCATCCCATTGCACATTCTGCGATTTGCGCAGGAAGCGCAGTATCGCTTAGTTCAGATTAGCCAATACCTTCAACTTGTGAGACGTATTCACCTATTGAAGATAGAGCGGAAGAAAGTCCTGAATCCTCAGTGGCAAAAAGGGCAACGTGTGGATTCTCTGGCATCTACTATCCTTATGAGGGAGATTTACCATGACTGGGATACTCTTGACGACAAGCTACAGGCCGAGAGGAGGTTGCGATTTCGAAGGGAGAACCGAGAAGCCAGGAAATGGTTGCTAGCAGCATCTAGATTGTCTTTTGGAGTCCTTATCATCTGTGGTAGGACACTGGAGAAGCTACTGTATGGCACATCCTTCGCGCACAGAGAACATATTGTTGACAATGCAGTAGCACTAAGCAGTCCACTGAGGGCCAAACCCTCTCGGCGGCAGTCCAAATCGCACAAGACTTTCCTGCCGTAGTTGAAACGTACCGTCTTGTTGACACGACTGTCAGAGGTCTCCTAAACCAGGAGAGGGCGGGGACCGATATCAACACTAAGATGATTATAGGGCAGATTAGACATCACCTTCAGTCCACACAGGAAACCACCACCCCTTACCGTGAACTTTCTGCATCTTCTCACGCCGATTTGTCAACAACCCAAACATCACTCGACCTCGATCTTGCGGCAGCTGCAATGGAAGGGATTCTTGACTCTGCTGACAGCAGTTGAACTAAGGAGGTATATAAGTTCGACTACGACGACCACGTGACGTGGATCCTACTGTTGCGCTCAAATTTTGTCTTATTATACAGACTCGCTTGTTTAGATTTTAAAATATATTCGTATCCTCACTATATGAACCTCGGCCGGCTTAGTCTGGTTGGCTGAAAAAGTCGGGGTGATATACTTGTCCCGTCGAATAGATTCCATTAGTGGTGAGAATGCAAGACTACAATAAATTGTCTCCGGATAGCTTTCTCCCAGTGGATGTCGTCTCTCTTCAGGCAGGGCAGGCAACTGGGGCGACTATTCAAGATACAGCTAAGTGAACGACCGTAATTCGAGCTTTTTAAGGTGGGCTTAAGGACGCACGGATGGATATCTACGTTGCTTAAGACATATCAGGTGGGACATCGGAACGCTTCTTCGAATGGTTATACGCAGGCGAAGAAGACTAAAGATAGGGCAAACTTGGAACGCCAAAGTCGAGGGAAAGGGCCATTAGAACAGTGTGATCAAAGGATCCGATCTTACCTCTGGAAATCATCCACCCCTAGCGCATACCAACTCTATATATTCTGCGGCATCTATTTCTTTCTGAAAAAAACTGTCAATCTGTCTCGTTGACCTGTACAACCTGCATCAACTGGACGCCCAACTAGCTGTTGTCACTGCTCTGCGCGTGGCCTTCCTTGGGGTACCCCCCATGATCCTCTTCTGGATTGCCTGGCTTGGTACTCCGCATACTGCGTGGGGAGGGTTTGATTATAGGCGGGGATTTCTTAGGTCTCCTGAGCGAATCTCCCACTTTACATGATACTATCATTGGTTCCGACATCATCTCCGCCATGAAAGACCGAGGTGCCGAAATACTTTTACAACCACTGTTCACCCAGCAATAGCTGCGAAGATGACTCTGACTAAACTAGCTAGCGAAACCCGAAGAGTACCGATTCTAATACCTGTCAAGGGTAGTGCTTCTGTCTTACCAGCTAATGGCGGCTATGTAAGTGGATTCAGTGGGTCACACTCGCTTAGCCGTCCGCCTCGCTTAATATTAATTCCTGATATAAAAACAATTTGCGAAAAAAAAAGGGGGCTTCTCATTGCGAATGCAACTCTAAGTATCACGACTCATCCACGCCTTGAGCATCCTATCAAATCTCATTTCTCAAGTTAAGGAAAAGGAAAACCCCAACGGCTACCACAGTCTGTGACAATGGGTCTCATAGATCTACCTCCAGAACTATTATTCCTGATCGCGGGATTTCTGGACTCTGAAAGGTCAATCAACTCGTTCACTCGGGCAAGCCGAACGCTCTACTTCCATCTCAACGCATACTTGTATCGGCATAATTCAAACACCTCTAATAGCTCCGCTCTGGTATGGGCTGTCCGGAGAGGGATTACACCGACGGTTTCGCTCAGCATCTCAATGGGAGGTGACCCTAGCGTGACAACCATAGAAGGTACTCCGTTGGCCATTGCTGTAAGACGCGGCCACGAGGAGATAGTGGAGCTTTTACTTGGCACTGGACAAGTGATTGCAGACTCAAAAGATGCCCATGATTTCACGCCATTGTGCTATGCTGCATCAAGAGGTTACACAGCAGTGTTAAAATTATTGCTTGAAACTCGCCAAGTGGACGTGAACGCAAAGACTAGTCATAGTCGCACGCCATTGTCCTATGCTGCAGCAAGGGGCCATACTGGAGTGGTCGAGCTATTGCTCAAGACAGGAATAATAGACGTCAACTCAGAGGATGCGTATGGTTACACTCCACTTCACTACGCCGCCTCAAATGGCCATAGAGCAGTGGTGGAGATGTTGCTGGATACTGTACAGGTTAATATGGATGTAAAGGACAGTAAAAGTCGGACGCCCTTGTCAGTCGCTGCACTAGGAGGCCACATGGAAGTGGTAGAGATGTTGCTTGAAACTGGACAAGTGAACGTGGATTTGAAGGATGATTATGGTTGCACGCCGTTATTCCATGCGGCATCATGCGGCCACGTGCAGATAGTGGAGCGGTTTATCGAGACTGCACAGGTTGATGTGAACTCAAAGGATAATAGCGGTCGCATACCTTTGTCGATCGCTGCATCAGGAGGTCATGCAGCAGTCGTGAGGATATTGCTCAGGACTGGGCAGGCGCATGTTAACTCAAAAGATATTGCTGGATTGACACCGTTGTCTCATGCGGCACAAAAAGGGCACATAGGCGTTATAAATGAGCTGCTTGGGACGGAACAGGTTGGCAAGGCTGGAATAGATCTTCAGTTCCCGCAGGATTGGTACAGCTGAAGGCTATAGTATTGGTCAATAGCTTTTGCCTATTCATGTAAAATAGTTACCACTCATATATTACTCAGAATTTAAGGGAACTTGGCATGGTCTAGTCGAGGCATGTCTAGCTTCAGAAGAAAAGCCACTTTTATATCATGTACTCCGTGTTTTATTGTTGGGTTGGTCATGTTTAATACACAAACGTCTCTTTGTATCTAGCTTTGAACTTTTCTGCGTACACTAGTCACCGTTATCTTCAGTCACAAAATGAAGTAATCAGCGGGTAAAGCAAAACAAACTACTTGGTTGCTACACAATTAGACCTAGAGCTTCCTAGTCTATCAAAAGGCTTCAGCAGGTACTATGTAATACTAGAATGACAACGTGCGCTTTTTCAGTGCTATGTTTCTTGTCAAAAGGGCAATAACGATTTAAACAAATTAAGATATCCCAATAGAACCCATCCACCGTAGGACAACTTAAACATCGTCGTCAGATGGCGGCATAGTCGTATGGACGGTGACCGTCACAGTGACCATCACATCATTGTTCGTCGATGTGGGAATAGTTGTAGTCGACAGAGCGCCGATAACTCTAGATATTATGTCCGTAACCGGCTTCAGCAGGTCTCCTGAATTCAAGGCAAAATGTTTATCTTGGCGGCAATTACAGTTCTCATCAGCCAGTGGGCAAGTGTAAAACCATGCTGGCCTAGAATCAGTAACGTTGTAGTATAAGTTGTCACTTCCAATGGGTCCAGGCTGGCAATGAGAATCCGATGTTGACTTCATCAGGCGGAACGGTGTTTTGGAGTGAAACTTGATTATATCACCAACATTGGTTTTCTCCAAGTACATCGGGTTAAATGGAGTTGTTGAATTACCAGAAACTCGCACCGTATGAACTTGACTCGAGTGCTGTTGTGGGGAGAGTTCACGTGTAAGAGGAATAGGTGACACTTGAGGGATTGTTGGTGATTTCGGCGTATCGAGACTGGTCGTGGCAGTCCTATGACATGAAGATGGAGTAATCAAAGGAAACGGAGATAATGAAACAAAGCTTGAAGAGGGTACAACAGGGCACTTTAGGTTTGGAAGGAGCCCGTTATTTCTCCATAGTCGGTGGCATGTAAAGGGCGGAGTATTATAACAGCCACCACTTCCATTGATCGGGAAATAGCTTTGAATAAAAGATGTGCATGATAAATCATCACCTAGTTCTTGGTCGTTTTGTTGATTCCAGGAGTTAGGTTGTCCTAAAATCGAGATATCTAACTGCTCTTGATCATAAAGAGGGCGGCGCAATCTGAAACTGCGAGCTATACAAGTGTTGGACATATTCTTCCCTAAAGTGGAATCATCGAAGATTGTTGAGGCCACGATGCCCTTACAATCTAATTCCGTCCAGAGCATGATCCCGTTGGTGCCGTATATAATTTCGGTGTGATCATCACCATATGAGGTTGCTTGGGTAACTGAAAGAACAAGTACGAGAATTCTGATTAATGGAGTTGAAGCCATTTTCTGGAACCGAAATCGCGTGTCTGTAGATAGTTAGAGCCGGGCGAGAGGGATATATATATACTTGAACAAAGTGCTTTGGCCACAACCTAGAATCTTCCTCCTGCTTCTAATAGGGTAACGCAAGTTTCTGCAATGTCTCTCAGACTTTGTACTCTGAGGTCTAGATTGATCCTACTACATAAAAAAAAAAAAATGAAAAAAGGAAAAAATGAAAAAGCGGTCCTTGTCGCCTGCGTCACCAAAGAGGTTCGCGACATGCTCAAAATCAGATCCCGATTTCTAGGTCGAAGTTAAATAACTATCTTTCAACAGAGACATTTTTCAATAGCTGAAAGGCGTATGTAAATGCTTGAAATACATACGCCGCTGCTGAATTTGAGTCAACGAATTGGCTATTAAATATAGTGCCTGGAGTACATAGATCTCGCTCTTTACAGCCAGTAACTAAATTAAATCACAGGACGTCCACTCAATCAGGACTTGCCGCTTTGAATTGCGAAATTTTAAACACTCTCATCTACTACATACATAACACGCCTCCTCTGCAAATAATGTCTTTTTATTTTCTATTATATAGTACTGTAGCAGTGATACATACCGAGTGCACCTCACTAACGTTGTGGTTTACTGAGCGTCTTTACGTTTTGCTTTCTTCCTTTTTTTTTTTTCCCCCTCTTCTCACCACACTGGGAAACCGCCGGAGGAAGGGGGATAGGAGTCCTGCTACCCCACTTTTGGCGTTACAGTACTGCCATCATTCTGGCTGCACAATTATGCTGACACTTGCTACTTGTCACGGTGGTTCTTGCGCACGGATGCTTTCTCCTTTCGCGCACCAGCCTGTTTGATCTGAAGGCGTTTAACGTCCTTTAGCAGGCGGTCGATCTCAGCTTTGATACCCCTGCCTGTGTTGGTTGACTTGGTTTTCTTCGCACGGGCAAGCCTTCTAGAACGACGTGGTGCTGGCTCATCATCAGAACTGGTTTCAGAATCAGCGTCGCTTTCCACGCTGTAATCCGATTTCAAACTATGCTTTTTTGTGGAACGCTTCCATGGGCGAGTACGCCGGCCGGACGATTGCTCCGAGGACGAGCTATCGCTACCGCTCAATTCATCCTCAGTCTCTGCATTCTCGACGTCGTACCCCCAGTAGGCATTTTCGAGTTCTTTAGCTTTCAAATAGATCATTCGGTCTCCACTGAGGCTGCTCCCATTGGCAATTCGACGAATGAAACCCCTGCGTTCAAGGGAGATGCCTCCACGTTTCCATTTCACCAATACTCGCGTGTGAGGATAGGTGATATCCTTTGCTGGTCTGATCAGCGCCAGGGCATTTGTACTTGCATCATCATCATCCTCAACTTTCCAGCCAACTCCAATAATGTCTTCCACGTCATCACGCGAGTATTTCCAGATCTCCTCAGTGCTTCCAATGCTCGGGATTTGGACTTTTGCATTACCACGAGTGATACTGAGTACCTGCTCTGTTGTGCGTGTGTCGTACGGAATTGAAGATCCTGCCCGCACACGGTATATTGGACGCGCTTTTCGACCGTACTGGACGAATATTTGTGTTCCCGTTCCAACCCGCCACCAGTACAGAACTTTTCCGCGAGATAGTGAGCTGTACTCCTTACGCATTCTTGCTTCCAGACCATCAATACCATCTAACTCAAGGTCGGACTCTTCCGACTCAGATTCATCAGAGTATGAGGCCGCAGAATCGGCATCGTTGGGTAGTTCCTCCACCCCCGATGGCTTTTCTCCGAACATTCTTTCAGCAGTGGCGGAAGGGATATTCCAGTCTTTAGGAAGGTTGTTTTCGTCATTGAGAAGGCGAAACATTTTGTGAAGTCTGTAATATGCTTTCCACTCTTCGTCTGGTTTACCCTTAATGTTATCTGTAGCAATTTGAGCCAACCAGGCTTCATATTCCCTCCGATATGCTTTAGCACGGATGTTGTTGTCTTCTACCGGAGCATGGTGCTTTTTGTTGGCTTTCACGATATTGGAGTTAAGCACGTTCAGGAATGATTCGATCTTGGTAAAATCGGGAGTTTCGCTTTGTAGCTCCTTCTTAATATCATCTCCGCGCGATTGAACAAAGTCCTGTATGAGTGGTTGTATCCAGGCACTGAGCTTAGGCCGCCTATAACGTTTCTCGCGTTTGCTTGGAGGCTCATCTTCGGATAAATTCGCGAAATCCGAATCCAATGCCATGAGGTCGGGCATCTCCTCGTCCGAGTCTGAGACTTCCTGGCTCTCATTTGTCGTCTTATCATTTTCTTTAGTAGCTCTGTGGCCTTCCCCCTTTCTTTTGAGTTCACTTGAAGGCTCATCTGTGGACTCCAGATCAAGAGGCATGGAATCGGCCACCTCTTCATCTAGGTCTGACTCTTCCTGCCTCCTCTCTGCCCTCGTCCTCCTCTTGGTCTGTTCTGCTCCGGCTCTCTTACTTGCCTTCTTCTTTTTAGTAGCTCTTTTGGAGGCTGCCATGTTGACGTATAACTTTGGTATGGCAAATATGCTATCTCCAGAGGCAATGGATAAGGCCTCGCATTTATAGATGCGTCCGATTAGATTTTTCGATGTTGGATCCGCGACCCCGCTTGATGCCGCAGTAGGATCATCTGTAAGTAAGAACTGGGGGCCCACCCACCCACTTTTACGATATGAGAGTGAACCTATGCGAGTACTTCAACAGACCATGCGACCAAGTGGTGTTGCGGGCTTAATAGTAACAACTTTTTTTCTCAACTTTCCTTAAAAATTACTAAGCAACTATATGGTAACTAACTAACGAAGTCTAGAGACTTTTATGTACAGTAGCGAAAAAGAGTGCGATCAAACTCATCTACCCTCTGTATAAATGTATACATATATCCATCTGTTTTTCTACAGCGCTGTAGAATTCGGAAACGCGATAGAAACATGACTTTGAGCACCTTCGGCAAGATTGATAAGCCGTCTAAGGGCATCCGAGCACTGTATGCAGCTAGTCTGATATGTTTCTGCTACTGCCATCCATTGCTGCGCATCCTGCTGGTGAAATTGGATTGTCGCCTGTGCCTCCTGTAACATGGTCTCTCTGTTCTTTGCCTCATTTTCCGCTAGAGTCTTGGCCTGTGCTAATATTCTTGCCTCCTCTTTCATTCTGCCGAGTTCCTCTGCGAGACGAACGTTTTCGTTTGTGAGCTCTTGGATGCGATTCACATCGCGCTGCTCTAATACAATCCCCTCCGACTCAGTACAGAGCGGAGTGAGGCCCGATTTGTCCATATCTCGAGCAGTAGCACAGAAGGACTTTCCAACTTCATGATAAAGTCGCATATAGGCACGAACAGAATGTTTGCTCAGGTGTTTTCTGAATAGAACATTTAAAGAAGCATCCTTGATCTTCCATGAGTATCCCAGGTCTTCTGTTTCTAACAGGCGAACTTCAGTCGGCGTGACTTGAATGCCCGTCATTTCTGCTACTGCATTGTTAGGACACATTTATCAGTCACCTTCTGTCACGTACTAATATGTTCCGCCAGCCGCTGTCGACATCTGATCCTCCACCATGCGCGCTTTTCATTCCCAAAAATCGCTGTTGGTTCCCCCATGGTGCTCTGCCAGTGGTTCAACTGTCATTAAGAGTTGACGGAGTAGATGTGCTGACCTAGATTAGTCTAAATTTATAGACCAAGGTTTGTGAAGTTATTTCGCGGTTTTTGGGAACCATTTGGTGTCGCAGGAAATGATGACTTTAGAAGACTACAAAGTATCTCGTGTTCGAAGAACATCCAACTCGCTGAATATTTCGATGTTACTTTACCAGTTCTTGGGCAAAGTATAGAATCTAACTATCTTGTAATTATCGAGACTGAATTGCGCAATTTTAGGGTGTCAGGTACGACCACAATCTGCTCCTAGTCCAGGGTTGAAACTCCTGCTCAAACAACTCCACATTCTGCCTTATATTTGCTCGAACCAGCTCCCTAATCTTTCGCCGAACTGAAAACTTAGCAGAGACTACAATACGTTAGCTTTTAGTGTACTTGCTCGTGGAGAAATAGTCTGAGTTACCAGCCACTAAAGTTCTTCCGTTCTCTCCAGGCTTCGCTGACAGCAACTGCTCTTCCCAACTCGGAAAGCCACTGTAGACCTTGATTAGATCATGTTCGCCAAACCGGCTGGGCTTCTCTGATGATATAGGCTCTAGTGTATCGTACACGATGACATTTAGTAGCTATCGTTCGTCAGCCTGACAGACCTAGGGGAGTGGCCTATGTTACTCACAAATCCTCCGTCCCCTTCCACCAGTTCTTGCAGCCAATCATGAGCTCCTTCCCAGTCACCCTCCTCGTCCAACTGCCAGATGATGGAGATCTCTTGTGTTCGAATAGACTTGTTGCGATAACCCTCAAGTAATTCTTTGATATAGGGGAGCTGTGCAGCGATCCCAATGCCAGTGGCAACCATGAGGATACGACCGTAGTCCCCCATATTCTCTGAGTCCATCCCGGGCCCGACACTAGGGACCCCATACGGGCCGTCAATCCACGCTTTGTACTTTCCATTGGATTTAGCTCCGTCGGCGAGTTTCTGTGTAAACCCGGATCGTTTCCCGATTAAAAGATATATAAAAGTTGCCTTACCAGCATCGTCGTTTTGCCACCAGCTGATTGCGAACGGGTGCAGCTGAAAGAGATAAAAGAGTCCGATACCAGGAACGCTAAGCTGGATCCGCTGCCCAGCACGGATGCGCCATGGTCGAGGCAACCCAATCCTTACACGGACCAAGCCCGGCCCTTCGAAGACCACCTCAAGGTTCGCGGGTTTTTTTCCCGTTCCTATACCCAGACTCTGAAGGAGTAACCTAAACATTTGCAATGCTGTGGATAATGTGAAAGCAATTATATATCCCAGAAGATACAGATGAGTATGACGGTTAGCTAGGGCACGTGTATGCTGCCAGATTGCATAAAGCGCGAGCAAAGCACTGCCCTGATGCACTCTTAAGAACACCTCATACACCCTTTTCTTTACTAACGGCAGGGTAACGAGGGAAAGGAATAAACTTCCTGCCTTAAATTCTATTAGTTGCTTGCTCGAATGGAGAGGCGGAGACGTACTAGGATTTCGTAGAAGTGGGAACCTTTTGATGCCGTTATAGCCTTAGTTTTAACCATGATCACCACATGAATAAGGGCTTGAAGAACGACCATCGCGCCCACGGTTCGGTGGATAGTGCCATAGGTTTCAAGCGTCACTCCCAAAAGGAAGGCCCCGAATTCATGGCCGCCAGAGAGGTACATCGGTATCAGGTTGATCAACGATAAGTGAGCAGCACGGACACCAGCATCTGAAAGCGATTCTACTCCGAAAATATTGCAAACCGATGTCCCAGCAACATACAGAATAATGAAAAGGAGGTGCAAAGGCGGTGGAAGGAGCTTGGCCAGCCACCTATTCGACAGGCGATACAGCAAAAACTTTAGCATAAAGTGTCGACAATGCCTAGATATAAAGGACCGAATACTGAACACGACACGGAACAATATCATCAGCGATACTAGGCTTGCCAAAACAATGGTATAAGTTAAACCAATTCTTTTATCCATTGTATCGAGTGAGAATGATGTCCCAATAAATTTCGGACTATACTACCTTCGTGGCTTGCAACAATCTTCTTACGCCTTATATACATATGGTTCCGCCTTGCAACTCACAAATTGCCGCAACACCAGGCAGTTTCGCGACCGAGCCGCCGGCGAGCCATGGATGTCAATGTTACGGTATGTCGGTTGATTGAGACAATGCCTGCGGTTCCATCGATTCTAAAAGCTGGCATCGGTAGGCACAGTACTGGCAGAACCGTAAAAACATCTCGTGATCCACCTCGTCACTTGAATCATTGCTGAAGGTCTGATTTAGACGTTGCAAATGAGGATAAATTGTTTCCTAAACTATAATTAGTCCTAAGATCGAAGATTTTGGGCGGCCTAATTACCAATTCTTTATCAGCTGGCGGCCAATTCGTGTCTTGTACTGAGTTATACGTAATCGTGGCCCGTGGATGATGGATAACGAGGTATACATCTGCTCCAGCAAGGGTAGCTAGTTCGTGTGCTTTGCTCAGTAAAGTACGGGTCCTCTTGTTGAACGTAGTGCGCTCACGCCTGAAAGGATCGGGACCCCCCATAACGATTTTTGATGCAGGCAAAAGTAATGTGTTGTTAGGAGACTGGTGTTATGTCTTCAAGCAGTTTCTTATACTAGTCATGAGAGAAAGTACCTCTAACCGGAGCTGCAGCTCTGGTGCCCCACTTTATTCCGCGATCTGCGATATATTTCAATTCTTGGACTAGGCATATTACTAGGAACGAAAGATGTGATAATTCAGGCCGATTACCCCACTCAAAAGAAAATAGCGAAAAAAAAGGGGGCGAGTCTACCCTGTGGAAAGGGTAATCTATTTCTCAGAGCGCCCGCCTGCGATAGCTGTATTGTTATTACCCTCTTCCTCAATGCGAGCCCTCTTTGCGTGATTATCCTGCGGATCAGGCGAGCTACGCCGGCGTCGTTCACCTCGTAGCTTATCAGCGGTAATATCGCAATGTTCGCAAAAGGCTGTGGGTGGGCCGTTATAATCAGGCCGACCAAACGGGGATACCAGGTGCTGCTTGGCCGCGAACGACGCTACTGTGTCTGGGAACCCGCTTATTCTCCAGCGCTTCCTTGCTTGCGTCTTCAGGTAGATGTTCACTTGTATCCCTGAGTGGGCCGTGATGAATGATACCTGGTGGCAATACCGCCCACAGGAGGCACAGATTTGCCTTGTACCCTCAAGTGTCCCAATTTTCTCCCTGTCAGTAGTAAAGAGCAAACCATCTGGGTAGAGATTCTGAAGCTGTGCGACCACATCATGGGCACGTCCTCTGCAGTGGATTGTTCCAGAACACCAAAAAGGGTTGGCATTTGTCTCTGGAAGGCTGCCGAGGACGAAGAAAAATTGCGCTGCAAGCAGAGCCGTTGCTGCTTCCCGCGCCATCCGGGCAGCCCCCGGATGTAGCAAAACTACATTCCGGTACTCCTCCATTGCCTCAACACTGTCGATTGCGCCAGCCGAGCTCGAAAGCGGAACATTTAGTCGCAAATAGTCCGCCTTAAGGTCATCCTCGACTTGGCCCCACATCTTCGACCAGTGATATTCCGTATCCATTGATGACATCCATGCATCAAAACCCCGGCGGATGAAGCTGTCGCGAAAGACATGCTGAAAGTGCGGAGATGGATCTGTCGCTTTTGGAGAAATTCCAGTTCCCAGCGAGATGAGCTTGGCTGGGTTTTTTCGACCCGGCCATATTTGTTGACTTAAACGATGTGCGATATCGGCGGCCAGGTTGTCCTGAAGGCCGCCGTCCTGGAAGGAGCCGATTCCTGGGATATCAACTGGTGGGAAGAAGCTATAAATCTTGTGAGCCAAGGACTTGAGGCGTGACAGGGACGTGTGAATCTCACGAGGGTGCTGCTGCTGTGGCTCTTGCCCTGTAACTTGCCATTAGTGGTACTAAAGCAGGCAATTAGCAGAGGACTCACCCTTCCCAAACGCGAGGCTCGAGATTCGTATTAATCGGCCGAATAATGCCGAACTCTATTTTCGTGGTCAGTACTATACACATGTCTCGCTCTCCCCATACTGATACTGACCGCAATCTCCATCAAGGATCTGAGCCGGGTTGAAATTTCCGAAGACAAAGGATCTCGTTTCCTTCGCGATGCTAGTCGCTATGACACCGAACCTTGTCTTAGACGACTTAATTCGTAGCTGATCTGCCTTCACAGCCTCGAAAATTCGTGAAGTTGTTCCGAATACATCCTTCAAAACCGACTCAAAGACAGATCCACTGTAACAACCATCATGAAGCAGCCACAAGAGCCATTTATTCACACGCCCCAGCAATGACCTCTCTCCTAGCATTGTCTGTACGGCACGGGATAATGATGAGCTCCGCCTTTGTTTGAATATTCTCCGTGCCATCTTGTCGAAAGTCTCCGCGCACGTTTTAACATCCCATGACATCTTGAATAGCCCGAGAATGCTAAGTCCTCCTATAGCAATCAGCGACATCGTGACCAGAAGGTAAGGAACCCAGTCAAAATATATATAGGACTAACCTGAGCTTGTGCCAATAGCGAGGTCAACTAAGTCTTGTAGCTGGCAGTATGGACTTAGACTCTCTTGGACTAGAATAAGAAATTCCAAGGGAATAACTCCTCGAACTCCACCTCCATCGATGGCTAATATTGTAGGGTTTGCAGTTGGCGGAAGAACATCAATCGCGAGTGGCTTCTGGTATAAGCAGCAAGGGCAAGCAGATATCGTGAAACGGTACTCAACATCGCTTGCCGGTGACCCGTACAACTGGGCACAGTGGTCGCACATTGTGTGTCCGCACTCTAGATGATGCTGCGCTGACCGTGTGAGGCAGAAAAGGCAGATTAAGTTGGACCTGACTGGGGAAAGTTCCCCACTGAGGATGCGAAGTTGCTCTTTGCGAAGCTTCCAGGACTGAAAGTCCATTAACTCCAATGTATCGAACTGCTGGACCATTGCGCATTCTACTATACTCACCAACTCTTTTATGCGACAAGGTGATAAGAGGAATCTGGGTTCCTCCAGCGCGGCTATGACTGCAGAGCGATAAAGTGATTGAAAAATCACGCGGGGCTCAAAAGCTACTTCATATCAGCCTCTGCAAGCAACAACGCAGTTGGTGAGCTTACCAGGCATTCCCGGCCTATAATGATCCATAAGAAGTGCTGATGCGATTGAGGGAGCAAGCTGCCCATAGTCCACTCCCGCTAACATTGCGGCGTCTTGGTAATGCGCAAGATGCGCACTCAACGAGGTTGCCACTGGACGGTCCGCCCGGGTCGCTTTCACAAAATTAAATGGTAGATGTGCCTCCTCCACAAGATGCTCTCTAGCTGACTGAAAGAACGCTACCAGGTGCCTTGCGTTGAAAAGAGCCTTGTGATCCTGTCGAACCATTGTCATGTCATCCAGCTGCCCCGCAATGAATGCACTCAGGTGCTTATATCGAGCTATCTCAGACAGACGTCCATCCAGGCGGACAATATTTAGGGCTGAGAAGAGCTCCCGTTGGGCATTAAATGTGGCAACGCTCAGCTGCTGGTAAAATGCCTCGGCTTCCTCAATTTCACTTGTAGCTCCACCATCTGTGCGTTCGAATACAATAACGATGCGAGGTCGGACAGGTGTCGGCAAAGTTGAGGCTGCTCCCAGGTTTATGCAATCGAGCAGGAAATCGATAATGTAGGTGTGACTTGGAAGATCGGCAGCAAAAATGCACACAATGTCACTGAATGGGAAAACTAAACGCGCCAATACAGTACGTACAGTAGCATCTTCAGATGTTGCATCCCAAGTAATGGGATATCCCTCTGCAATACCGCAGTTATACAGAGAATCCTGGATACCGCCGGTCAGATTGCCTTCTACAATCAAACATGGTCGAGCAGAATTAAACGACCGGATGTCGCGTCGTAGCCCCACCGCTGTATTCGATCTGTGCCTCCTTATATTGTTCTGAGGGTACAACTGTCTCAGCCCAGCGTCCCTTGTTTTGTTGCCAAGGAAGACACACAGTGCCGGATATTGGGAATCTGGAGCAACAAGCTCAGGGAGGAGTTGCTTTAGTCGGCCATAGTCCCAGAGGACATGCCCCTGGTCCCTCCGCTGTCCGATGTCGAGCCAACTAATCTCGTCTGCCTGGCCCATGGTGATAAGAGGGACTGTTCTACACCTGGTGTAAAAGTGGCGTATCCGCAAATTCGGATGCTTTTCTATTCTAGGCAGTTCTGGCGCAGTCAAATCATGGCCTACAAGCAAAATGGGTTTGCGGAATTACCAGGGACAAATGTAAGGCATATACGCTTGCTTGCTTGGTTGTTTTACTAGCACCTGCAAAAGGGTGTACGAAGTCCCCCACACAGTGTTCTAGATGTTGTGCAGTGTATTATCACAGTGCCGCGACACAATTTGGTCGCGCGTTCAGTTCCGCGACCTCGATCTAAGTGGAGCTGTTCTCGACGAGATCTGTGGGGCGCCATCCCTGTCAGCGATGAAAAATCAGCAATGAGCTCTTACCTTGTGGGTCTTCTCCCATGATTTTATCTCGGGGAAGAGTCGAGGTGGGTCGGTTCGGTCGCTCTTCGGGGAAGATCGACCTTGCATTTGTCATGCATGAAACCTTAGTTAGCCTAGCCAACCGTTGGACGCCCGGGCCACCAAGCGAACTTCATAGTTTGACTTGGTTGTATCGCCTCTGAGCGCGTGTGCTCTCGACGATGGACGGACGGACGTATTGGATGAGCTATGTTCACTGGCTGGCCGGGATCCTGATTATCTCTCCCCACCCGGATTGCTGTGAGATAATCCCTAACCAATCATGAAGTAGTTTTGGGCAGATGTGAAATCAAGGGTGAATACTTACTCCCAAGGTAAGACAAGCCACTTGGAAGTAATTTATCCATCAACTACGAGTATATAAAGCGTTCTAAATTCCCATCTGACCGAGTGATGGAGCGTTTATCGACCATCACAACCACCCGCCCAGACTCCCACTATTGACAATGGCCTCAACAGGGATTGAGCCTCGTGCCTTTGGTGCCTTCCAGAGTACCCAGAATAAAGACTGGTTTGATGCAGACATCGATAAGGACTACAGCTTCATGTTCGGGCCACAAATGTCGGATTATTCCATGGATGCTACGTTCTTCGACCCAGTTGAGGGGCTCCCGAGTACATACGGAGCATTACAAAGCCAGGAGTATGTCTCCCCCTCATGAGTTAAACAAACCCATTTTCACTAACCCAGCATGATTCACAGCGTCGAACCTACCGCACAATCAAAGTATGCAAGACATTCCTCCCTACCTCTGATACTCTTGCTGTGTTAGTTCGTTTTCGGCTGGCTAATATTCTTTATCAGAAATATGCTAGAGTATCAGAGACTCCCATCGAGTTCTCTAGCAGATGGGGCTGATGGACTCTTCACGCTCGATAATTTCTCTACTGTGTCAAGTGCGGACACTCTTCAACTTTCAAAGCTTGCTTCGACTGTTAGTAGAGCTTGCTCTGCCATGGAAAGTATCCCATCTATGTTGGAGAAACTTTCAAACTCTATTGATAGGATTTCCACGGGCTTTGAGCGCTTTTCGGGGAGTCTTAATGAAGCGTCAACTCTGGTTGAGAGGGTTCATTCGCAAGCAGAGAATGTATCGGAATACACTACTGCCGCAACTGGCGCTTTTGAAGGGAGAGTTGATAGCTTGTCAGAGAGAATTGATGGTCTGGTCGCAACAGTGGAGGAAATCGTCAAGCGTGAGCGTATCGCGATGGAAAAGTTTGGCAATTTTGCAGGGCGTATCAACCAGCCAGTTGACCTACTCCAGCGAAGCTCTGGGTAGCTCTATTGTACTTGTATCTAAGACCAGCAAACATCTTTAACCACCCTAATACTTTCTTGATCTTGAAGAATGCTTATTGGGGGCACTCTTCTTCAAGTGCTAAGATCTATTGCTTTCCGCATACAGTCGCAGAATTCTCGTTCGTCCTAAGATGACTCTGGCTTCTTAGATCCAGAAGGTAGAATAATATGTTCTTAGCACCTTGGCTGCCTCAGTGGTTCCCACTCATTACTACGGCGAGCAGCGAAATGGGTATTTCCCACCAAATTTATCTCTCTCCTTTCTGATAAAGGTCTTGGAATTGACCTCAACCTTGAACGGTTAGCTAATCTCTCACCCCCAAGCGCTTCCACTCAGGAATCTTGAAAGGATTTTGAGAGGAGGGTGACAGGCAGGCTTATCTCGCTGCTCACTTGTATCACGGGCACTTAGCTGTCCTTCCACAATGGGAACCAGCCATTCTCTCTTCAAAGAGACATTGATGCCCAATATCTGGCTTTATCCTCTTGATTCGCTTGAGAACGATTTTTAATAAGCAGGTGGTGGTTCCTATCCTTTCATTGGCTGGTACGTTTAGCTTTATGCTTAAAGTTTGACGGACCGTCCCGGTAACCAGGTACCGGAGCAAAGAGTGAAACAATAGCCTCCTTGGTGGCTCCATCTTTTCGAGGTCCATGGACGGAGCTAAGATAGTCAAGGTCGGTTAGATATGGAGGAAGAGCGAACGCACGTTTCTTTCTGGTTGGAAATCAGTTTCTTACCCCCAAGGTATGATTCTTTTGAGCCTCTGGATACGCCAAATTTGGGTCTTCGTGACTGGTTGAGTTAAACTCACGAAGTTGAGGAATTCTATCGTAGCCATCCCTTCATAACCTCCAAGTGTCAGACGGGGCTGACCCATTATTGAGCAGAAAACTTTATTGGCGGGTACCTTCGGAAACCAGTGGTGGGGCCTGAGTGACAAATCGCCAAAGTCGCGATGCAATGGAGGTTATCCTGGGCGAATACACACTCCAAATCTCCAAATCGGGGCAACGTATGAATCGGATCCTAGGATAGCCTACCAATTGATGCTATACCCACATGACTTAGCCTTCCGGAAAACCCACAAACTCGAACACCTCCACTAGCGAGGGTCAGCTAAAGGCTAAATAGCGTGAGCTCACTCACTTGTCCCACAGTAGTCTTTGGATAGGAGTCTAATTGGCGCAGTTTGCCCCGGAAGCTACGGACGCAAGTCACGATACTTCCGATTCGAATTTGGATTTAAATATCAATGCTTCCGTGGCAGAAAAAGGCCTAGAATCATGTTCTAGTTTCCGCATCGTCGAAGTGGGGCGGGCCTGGTGCAAGCAGGAGGTCAACCGGTGCGTGACCGGTTGATAAGGGCGACAGACTTGTCTGCGACAGACTTTGGGTATGCGTTATTATGCTGTTGAGATCTTGTTATAATTACACCACTTTAGTCCTAGAGTCCCATGGCTTCGCAAGGCTTTTGTGCTCCTATTCCTTTCCGCGGTAGCATTACTTAGTATTACGATTTGAATGATGCAGCAGTTCCCTCGTCGGACACTTGACCCAATCTCCGAAGAGATCACCCCCACAGACCATAAAGTTCTTGGCTATGGCGGCACCACCTCCAGCATTGAGCGACTCCCATCCCGTTTGCAACGCTCCAAAAGAGCATCAACAGACCTGCGTCAGCAGCTTGAGGATCTTACCTACGAAACCAGCTATTTGAGGGCAGAGCTACAGTGGCAGAGAGAGTCCAGACAGGCTCTATTACGATTCCAAGACCAAATGTTCCAGATGTTCCATAAAATGGAGGAAGCTTTAGCTCAGGTGACTACGGCACTTTATGATTGCGAGCATCGGTATTTTAAACTCTGGGGGGTGGACAGTGAGAGTAGCCCAGAGGAGGGCATGATCTAGCATGATCAACATATTAAACCCATGACTTCCGCTGTTCCAGCGTTAATATGTTAATTGGTTGGAATTTATTTCATTCAACAATTAAACACAGTCTTTCACGAAGTTCGCCTGAACTACACATGCAACGGCCGTCTATCTGCTACGACCCTAATGTGAGCAACATAGTGAATCAAGCGCATTTGAGTGAGGACGGCTGTTGTATTCCACCTTGTACGCGTTATGATGGTCAACAGATCGCTGCTTTTGATGTCCATCTACATCTAAATGCTCCCTAGACGGCTTCAATTCATATGTTCATATGTTCTCCTACCGCCTTATGATGCATTTCTACATCTAGTCAGTAATAAGTTCCCTAGGATTATTGTACATGAAGACTCACTCTCCATAAATGCTTCTTCGTTTAACTCTTTGATATACGCGGTTGAAGATGTTCTGCCTAAATATCGAAGCTGCCGGGTGACATAGCACGGCATATATATCTTCGTCGAGCTGAGGCCATCCATCCATAACAATATATCGATACTGTCCAAAATCATAAGACGAGTTCATAAATGCCATAGCTGCGGCAAGTCCTATAATTCCACGACGTCGACAAAGTAGATGTTGAAAGCGTTTTCGACGAGTACAGTCACCACAGCTTAAAAGTCTTGCTGACAGTTTATTATCTTTGGCCGGAAAAGAGTCCAGTCTCTGATGGCATGCAATGCAAAATAAGTGAACGAACATCCTGTTCTAAATAAGAAACAGTTGCCTGGTTCGGGCTTTCCGTACCTGCGACGCGGCAGGGGCTCTATTTAAGAATTATTGGTTGAATACGATTTAATGTATAAGAGGATATATACTATAAGCTTACCTTCATAACCTATGGTTGCGCCACCAAAGAGTTTCGCATTATCAGCCTTATATATATCTCAACTCTGCAAGCCCTACTTAAGTCTCGGTTGCTCTCCACAAAGTTTAGTGTAACCCTGACGTTCTAAAGATTTCAGATTGAAATGAACGAGCTACTTATTTTACTTTCTCCTTACTTCCTGGTATCAGTATGCGCATTGCTAGCTGTATTTATTCACTACTAGCCCTGCTATTGTAGTCTCCTAACGTGTTCTTTTAGGTTGGAGAAATTGAAGTGGTAGGCGTTAATTACGAACATCGCCATACACATGGTTATACTTATAACCACAGTAAGCCAGTGTCAACGAGTGTGAATACACGCTTACCAAATCTAAGGTCAGAATACCGCCTTCATCCATGGTCATATTGACTATCCACGTTCCAATAAGGTCTGCCCTAGCTATAAGCTTTCGCCAGTTATAAAGACCCCACCTGGATCAATCTTGAGGCCACACTACTTGAAGAAGCCATTGGCCCAACCCGGTGGTCCTCGTAAAGGCTTTCTTGCTTGGTATGGTTTACAAATGTCTGATTCCGTGAGTGAAACAACATTTGGTGATATACTGAATATCCAAGAGGGACTTATGGGAGATGGTAAATGAAACGACCTATTAAAAATGGACTACTACTAAAATCTGCAGTACTGGCAAGCTCGGCTCCCGGTGACGAGCACGGTATCATTCAGCTACCATCTGGTACGAAAATTGGCGCCATATATGCCTTATACTGGGTATGGAATACTACCCATCCTTTGAATGGCGGTCACCTAGTACGACTCTCTCCAATTCCCCTGAAGCATTTGATATTAATATGCTCCATAGACTTTCACCTCTTGCGTTAAAATCGAGCCTATTCCCAACGATACGCTGAGAGATTCTTTTTCTGAAAAGCCGAGCCTCAATTCTCGTGATAATATGAACCAGAGTTCCACTCGGCTTCACACACTAAACTCAACGACCACATCACAACGCAGCAATCATAGAGTCATACCGTCCTCTACTGACAAAAACATAGCATCCAGTTTCCGTCTCACTTCAAGAACAACTTCAAGCCTTTATCCCGTTTCCACAGTGGGTACCACCCCAACATCGAGCTTCACTAAAATCGCGATATCTCATGAAAAGCGGCAGAAAGATTATCCAAGCCCCAATGGGCCGATTACACTATATGCTTGGACGATGCCCAATTGCAAAGGCGAGTGGGCACAGACCGAATTTGATTTCGTGACCTTCACAAAAAATAACTCAAATTTCTATCTATCTCGGAGCTTTAAGCTTTCTCGCCCGCTGGAGGGTCAAGAACAACTTGACCTTTCTCTTGCAATCGACCTTAGCTCTTGGAACTCTACAAAGAGTCTAGCATTAAAGAGCCCTAACCCAGCTTGTGATTCATTCGAACAGACCTATTTCGCCTTGAATGGAAGCGCAGATTGCCATAACACCCCGGCATTTACCTGCCATCGGATATGGATAAACCCCGGCTTGCTCTTGTGATTAATAAGACAGCTACTCGATCAAGCTTTAGTCGTAATAATACCGAGGAAGAATCCTTAAGTCGCCAGCGATTTACTAATGGCCTAACGCGCCTATATAACTTTGTTACAGAAAGAAATAGTCAAAGAGGCAAGGGGTGTGGTCACGTGATAAGCCACGGGGAGGCTCGGAGTCACGAAGCCGTGGCCGAGTAATCCCGAACGTTAGCATGGGATGGCAGGCGCTGGCTTTGCTATATACCAGTCTGGGAAGCAATTCCTCCAGTCCTCCATCCCCTTAGGCCCGAATAAAGAGGTTTTTGATGCTGAAGCTGAAGCAGCACTAGCAGGGGCTAAGGCAGCCTTCCAACTCCACACAGCCTGCTATGCTACTAACCTCTGGATATGCCTAGACAACCTAGAGGTAGCCACACGTCTCCTATCTCCATTTACGGGCTCATCCCAAGAGGTCTTTGAATCCTTCCGGGCCCTGGCCGAAACCTGGCTGTCAAGGGAAAGATTCCCATATACAGATGGCGGCTCTGTACGGATCTGCTGGGTACCTGGTCACACACAAATTCCTGAGAATGAAGCAGCGGACCAAGCCGCGAAGAAGGGAGCTGCTATGAACCCTCCCCTAAGCAAGCACTCACACGCCTCGCTAAAACGGCAGGCTAAAATAGAGATGTTATCTGCCATGCAAAGATACTGGCAGACTACTGCCCCCCAAACCTACCGCGATCTCTGGATTACCACCTACCCCAGGCGCTCTGCGGAGCTAAAGCTCCCACGACCCCTTCTCGCCCGAATCCTGGCTGCGCGTACGGGACATGGGGACTTTGCAGCCTACCACGAGCGGTTTAAACATGAGAATGCGCACCTCCTCTGCCGCTGCGGCGCAAGAAAGACTCCATTTCACTTCCTCTTCTGCTGCATTGCAAAGAGACGTCTTCCCCTACCCTCAGGGCCGCCCTCCGAAACTATCCCCTACTTATTAGGCACCCCCAAAGGGACAGCCAAGCTAGCCGCTTGGCTATCTAAATTTTGAGGATATCTGCACGAGGTATCCTCTACCTCAGCCAGGCTGAGACACCACCCAAAAAAAAAAAAAAAAAAAAAAAAAAAAA